CTCCTGATCTATAATCCGGGCAGGTCGGTTACACAAAGTGAATTTACCTATTACTTTGGACAACTCTGTGGTTCTACGCTTGTGATAGGAGACTTTAGCGCAAGGCACCAGTTCTGGGAGCCATCCATTTCTTTGGGATCGGTGAATCCCACAGGTAGGGCCCTGTTCCAAACCCTCCTCACATCTCACCTTTCGTTGCTCACACCACCAGGTTTGGAGACTAGAGTGGATCCTTATACCGGGCGAGTTTCTACCCTGGACCTCGTTCTTGGGTGTGGGTATTTTACTACAGCTACTGTTACTGTAGGCCCCTTCATGGGGAGTGACCATCTTCCAGTCCTTACTTCTACAAATGAAGTTTTAGCAGTGCCAGTGACGGCAGTTCATTCATGGTGGAAAATCACCCAGGCTGGTTGGACAAACTATAATCTGGTCCTTGCTGATTACAGCCTGCCTCAGGACTCCTTGCTGGACGAGGCCGTCGCGTCTCTTCAAGGGGCCATGCTTGAGGCGGCCTTGCGTTCATTCTGTCTCTCCGGGAGCTTCTCCCGTTCATGTCCCCGAGTTCCATGGTGGAATGATGAGTGCCTCCGAGCAGTGAAGGCGTGTCGGACAGCGTGGGCACAGTGGCGGCGCCAACCTTCTCGGACTCAGCAGTTGGCTTACCGAAGGGCAGATGCTCTTTGTCGGCGAACCCTCCTCCAAGCGAAACGTGCATCCTGGGCTTTATTCTGTTCCTCTCTTTCTTTTCGCACCTCTGCCAGTCAGGCATGGGTTTTTTTTTCACTCCATGTTGGGATCACATTCTGTAAGTACTTTTTCCCTGCTGGGGAAGGAGCGGCTCCACTCTTAACCCAGGACAAGGCTGAGAAATTTGCAAATTTCTTCGGTCCTATGTTTTCTCCTCCTCCTCTACCCTCTAAGGTGATCAAATGGGGCCCTTTGCTACCTGCCGTACCCGAGGTTCACTGCCAGGTGCTGGCATCTCCCTTTAGCTCCCATTAACTGCAATGGGCACTTTCCCAACTTTCTTCCTGCTCTTCTCCAGGGGAGGACAACTTACCCTATTCATTTATACTACATCTACCTCCCTCCTGTACAGAAGCTATGCTGGAGGTTTTCAATATCAGCTGGTATACGGGTGTCTTCCCTGATATGTGGAAGTGCTCTCTTCTGATTCTGATTCTAAAGCTGGGCAAGGATGATACCCAACTGAGCTCTTACCAGCCCACTGCTTTACTGCCCTGCTTGGGTAAGGTGCTGGAACGACTGGTGGCTACTCGTCTCTCTTGGTGGACTGAGGAACATGGCCTCCTGCCTGATAACGAGAGTGGCTTCTGAGAAGGTCGATCCACCCTCGACCCTTTGCTTCAATTTACACAGCTCGTGCACACTTCATTTGAATGCCGGGAGTTCCTTTTGGCTGCATTTTTGAACCTACGCAGAGCATTTGACTCTGCGTCACACACAGCAATTGTTTTCAAGCTGGCCCACATGGGGCTGACAGGAGCTCCCCTCTGCTGGATGCGCAACTTTTTGCAAGGGAGGACCTTTCGTGTAGCAGTGGGTGGCGCTTTGTCCTCACCCCGTCCTGTATACCGGGGAGTGCCCCCAGGGATCTGTTCTTAGCCCACTCCTTTTCTCTGTCTTATTGTCGGATCTCCCTTCCATCCAGGAGTGCATACCCTGGTATATGCGGATGATGTGGCCCTTATGTGCCGTGCCCTGGCTTTACTGACAGCGCAGGAAACACTTCAGGATGCCCTGCAATGCATAACATCATGGGCCACCACCTGGGGTTTGGAGGTTAGTGACACTAAGTCCAAGCTCTTATGGTTTACTAGACGCCAGCTCCCCACTCTTCCATCCGTCTCACTGAACCAGACGCCAATCCCTTTGGTCTCCTCTCATCGTTGGTTGGGAGTCACCTTAGATGCACCATTCTTGACATGGAAGAAACACATAGCGGCCCTCCATCTCTCGTGTGCACGTCGCATTGCACTTATGCCCGGATCTCTGGCACCAAGTGGGGGGCGGATCGAGACCTTCTCTATGGGTTCTATACAGCTATGGTTCGCAGCAAGCTACTTATGCGAGTGAGGTGTATGGCTCAGCTTCTTCCTCCTCTCTTCATCGCTTAGACATTCTCCAGAATTCAGCCATCCGTAATATGCTGGGGGCATTCCCCTCCACCCCTATCGCAGCCTTGGAAGCAGAGTCGGGGATTGTCCCTCTCTCATCGGTGAGGACAGCGAGGAACTGTTTACGACTCCATCATATGGCCTCTCTGCCTTGTATTCACCCCTGTCGCCTCTCTTCACAGATGTGGGAGACAGCCTCTGTCCCCCCACGTTTGGTTCAGCCTTCCTTTGTAGCCAGGGCCTAGCATTCCCTGACCTGCCTTACACTTCCTGCATTTGTGATGACTCCCTCCCCTCTCCACTCTCCGGCACCCCCCTGGCTGGACCTGACACGATACATTCACCTGGATTGGCACTACAGGAACAGGGAACCCCCTCAGTTAGTTGCATTTCCATTTGAAGAGTTTCGCTCTGTTACATATGGCTCTTCATTCTCCGTCTACACGGATGGCTCGGCACAGTCCTCCCCCCCCCCTTCTACATCATCTGCGGCCTTCTTCGCTTATCTCTCCCTGTGTCAAACGTGGCGGTTGGACCCTGCTCATTCTGTTCTGGCAGGGGAGCTCTTCGCCATTCACCAGGCTCTGGCTTTTGCCCTAGATCACATTCTCCCACAACCATTGGTTCTCTTCTCTGATTCCCAATCTTCCCTGGCACTTTTGTGCTCTGCCCGTCCACGGTCACTGCGCGTCCTCGTTTGTTGGACACAATCTCTCCTCCTGCACTTCTTGCAGAGTCCAGGTTGGAGCACCTCCCTTCAGTGGGTACCTGCCCATGTTGGAATCTGGGGCAATGAAGTGGCAGATTGGGCGGCCTCCCTCGTGCACACACTTCCTACTATTACCCCTCTTGCCCTGGGCCACAGTGATTTTACAAGGGCTGTTTGGAAGGGAATCCGTCATCAGTGGCAAGAGGGCCTTGCACACTCCCTCTCTTCTTCGGCGTTGAGCTCTGTTCGAGCTTTTAATGGCCCCTGCCCTTGGGCTCACCATCCCAACCGCTTGGTGGGCGTTGCACTGACTCGCGGCTGGCTGCTCATCTGTACCGCCTTCGGATGACAGACTCTCCGTACTGCACTGCCCGTGGTGTCCCTCACAGCCTGAGACGGTGGAACACTTCCTGCTGTGGTGCCCACGTTATCACTCTGCACGGACTACTCTCCGTGCAGCCTTGCGCACACTTTGGGTGCACACTTTCACTCTACCTGTCCTCCTCAACGGGGAGGGGTTTCGCCCTCTGGACCGTCAGGAGATATTGGCCTGTACCTGCTCCTTCCTGCTGGCTTCAGGGCGTATCAGAGACATATGATACATAGTTATTAGTCAAGACATTCTTTCACTTTGGTCGATGTCCCCTCTCCTAGCACTGGATGGCCGGGCTCGATACGGCGTATGCTGTCAGTGGCCCCAAAACCCAACAGAAGAAGAAGAAGAAGAGGGCACATTTTCAGTGCTCACTCAATGAGAAACAAAGCCAGACTGAGTCAGAACGCATGGGATGCTTTGTGTGGGCGCGGGCAGGTAGACGCGTTTCATATGGCAGACCATTGTCAACTCTACAAAAACTAAGAGGATGTATGAAAACTAGGACAAAATTTCGACGAAAAAGTCGTCAAAAACTGAATCCTACGAAAACCAGGGCATACAAAAACCGATGTTTCCCTGTAGTTGGCAATCTTGCTTCTTAGAACCTTTTCAGATTTTTATGATGGCAAACCTTGTCTTACTAACTTGTTAGAGTTCTATGACAAAGAAACAGATGTGCAACAAAGAGAAAGGGTTGAAAAAAAATCATATCACTGAATGGGTGGGATTTGAACCCATAGCAAGTGAGTCCTTAAACTCAGACCAGTGCATTAACCATTTGGCCAGCTGGCTCTAATAAGATTCATCAACTAGGTAAATTTCTATACACCATAGGAAGGTTAGCATAGGCCCCTGTGACCACAAATGCAGGTTTTTACAGATGAATGCCACACCAGCGTGGCTGTGGTGAGCTCTAGCTCAAGTCCTCTCAAAGCCACCATAGTGGCTCAAGTTGGGGTTTGACTCCATGGGTGAGTCCTAAAACTTCTGCACCAGTGCATTAACCACTCAGTCAGCTGGCTCTAATAAATTTTATCCAACTAGATATATTTCTATACACCATAGGGAGGTTAGCATGGGCCCCACTAGTTGCATGAATCTTATTAAAGTCAACTGGCCGTGTAGTTAATGCACTGGCCTGCGAGTTTTAGGACTCACCTGCCATGGGATAAAATCCACCCGTTCCATGATTCGGTTGCCATCCTGTTATTAAGATTTCGTTAGTCAAGAGAGGGTTGGGAGGATTGTTACAATCCCTTCATTCCGATATTATGTTGTAAGGAGATAATGTACATCGTACTGTATTGCATTGTAAGTTCATCCTTTTACACATAATCAACTACATTCACTTTAATGAATATTCTTGTAATTTTTGCACTGACTTTAAAAAATAACTATGTAGTCTTTATACTAGTCAAAGTTTGCCCAAATGCTGTTCATCCTATGGGCTTTCTAATTACTGTAATTTTTGTATGATAATTTTAAATAAAAAAATTAAATATGAATTTTAAATAAAAGCTTGCACTGCACCAGGTATACTCCAGGCACCATGTATATTTACCTTTGTACTTATCGGCAAAATTTTTAATTTCATTCGATGCCATCCTTCAAAAGTAGTCTTGATCCATAGACACTGGATATATTTTCCGCTTCCCTGTATCCATTCTGACTGCTTTCCACTCCTCAGGTCCTGTATAAATCACCCCCTTCCCTCCCCAATCCCGGTTCAGCGCCTGCCCTGGAAAATACTACTACTGATGAAGGAATGACTGACCTTGCTGGTGTCGCCTGTATCATACTCGTACTTCTCGGAGACGACATGAGTCTTGCTGTCTGGTGTGCAGTACTCACGGCGGGTATGTCTTACATGGCCACCGTCCTCTATACCCGCAAGAGCACTGCCGCTGCGGGACCCACCCCTGGACCCACTTCGACCCTCGTTCCGGGAAGAACTCCTGTGCCAAGTATTGATATTTATTAGTCAGAGTTTGGTAAGGTATATGATTATAATCAATGTGGAGTAGCCTGAGAAGTGACAAATATAACCTCTGAATATTCCACAAGAGGCAATTTATTCCAGAAAGGATCGCTGCCACCTTGATTTTATGAAAATGCAAAGACTGAAACAACTCTTAAAGCAATAAAAAGGGTGAGGTACTTTGATGCTGGTCAAGGGCTCTTGATCCGAAGAAATGGAACAATCTTCCCTTTCACTGAATCTATCTGAATGACCCCTAAAGGTTTAGCGCTTCTCCGTCAATATAGCAATTATTTTCGTAATGTCACCATGCACCTGTCACATCAACCTAAAATAACGATGTTTTTTTAGCAAATGTCCAAAAGCCGACTTATATGAGATTAAAGGGAATATATAGGCTCCGTCATAAACAGGAGCACACACATTAAGATCTCGAACATGCGGCTGCATGGTGGGATGCCAACATGCTCAGAGCCTTATATACATACCTGTACTTCACCTCTCATGCACTAGTTCTGGCACAGACTAACATAAAGCTGGCATGCCGAACTAAAATTTAATACCTGTGCAACAGAACTGTCACAGCAAGAACACAAAAAAAAACTACAAATATGAAAGCTATTCTACGGAGCTCCACTATTCTACAGCAGTTTTTTTTATGTGCTCTTCTATCCACAAGCTTTTTTCTTGTCCTTGTGTAAGATTGTTTATTTTGCCAAAATGCCAATACTGATACAACATATTATATTGGTAGTAGAGGTAACCTCTCCTCTGTTAGTATGCATTTCGTTTGGTAATCTTATGAAGTATAAAAAGATTTCCGACTGCTGTCACAATGACAATTTCGCGCAGCACAGACTTTACTAAACTCTACTACCACACACCAGGTTAACAAGCAATGCCTGGGCGGCGGGCATTTACATGCTAGGCTGTGCTCACACTGCTTCAGGTGGTCGCTTCACAAGTTACCTGAAAATTTCCACGAAGCTCTCGGGTCTGTCGTCGTATAAGGAAGTTCTGGGGCGGGGCAGGGCAGAGAGGGAAGGGGAAAATAAATACAAGTCAGGAATCAATGTTCAGTAGTTGAACTATGGCGTATCCGACACGGGGTTAAAAAAAACTGTAACTAAAAGAGACTTTTATTAATACTTGATAAACCCTCATGTATTAATAAAAGTCTCCTGCTTGATGTTTCTTTTTAAATCAATGAGCAGGTCTGCATGACTACCATGAAGCTTTTATTTGCAAACAATTTCAGGTTAGCCTGTACAAAATGTGGATGAAAGATATTTGAGTTGCAGACTTTCAGGTGACTACTAGAAGCGTAAGGAAACCTCAGAAAAGATAATAAAGGTTGAAGGAAAAATTAAAAATTAAAACAAGTAATATAATGCAAGGACGCCATCAAGAAAAGTGCCTTGATGTCGCTCAGTGGCTCTCGACCCCCAAAAATTTATCTATCTTCCATTTCCTTGAATGGAACCTGATTGTCTCCCACTCTCCCAGGTGCTGTATGACCCCTATCGGTCCTTTGAAGGTAATGCAAGCACCATCAAAATATAGGTCTTTAGTGTATATAAGACATATAAACAAGGCAAAATAAGAACTTGAAAAATATGAAGGGCAAGAGGTAAAAGCAAGGCTAATATGATCAAAATGACACTGATACCGAAAGTAAGTGAAGTCAGACTGAGTGAAGGTGCAAATAGCCTGAGATCTGAAGAGAGAAACAGTAAAAGAATTAGGACATAATGAAACAAGATGTGAAACAGGCCACGGTATCTGATACCGTCTCATAAGAGGAACAAGGTGGTACGATAATAAGAAGAGTAAAGAGTAGAGGCGGCACATTACAACAAATTAGAAGCTTAAATAACAATAATAATAATAATAAATAATTCGACACATTGCTTATACTATAGATGCTATGTAGTGCTTGTTTGCATAATATAAGAATGGTTTTCTGAGAAGCACAAGCAAGCATATGCATGGAGAAGCCCAGGGGTGCCTGGCGAACTGCCAAGCTGGGTACCCACCCTGCTGATGATGCCAAGCTGCTGTTGTAAACACCCACCTTAACAACTGGAGACCAATACGAATCTCACAGGTCATAGGTACACTTCTCAGATACCTACACTAAAATTAACAAGCTGACGGACGGATCATACTGGTTTTAGTCCATGGTCATTTCATATTGTTATCCATTTCCTGTACTCTTGGAGTGATTGGTGTCCTGCTGAGCAAGACGTGTATCATAATAGTGTCATGGTCAAATACACTTTCATCTGAGCAGTTGAATCATGAGAGCACCATTCCCCGTATCAAATCGAAAAATTATTTTCTCGTGGATAATAAGTCATAAAATCATTAATTTTTATATGAAAGAAGCACTGCTGAGTGTTTCCCAGTCTAGTCGCTTTCTTAAGGCGAACTTAATGAAGTAGAGCAACTCAGGCGGTGTATAACCACAACGGTTTAGCTTTTCTCCGTGAATATAATAATAATAATAATAATAATAATAATAATAATAATAATAATGGTAGACCAACTGGTGTGTACCGACCTACGCCAGGTTACTCTTACAAATTTAAACACTTCATTAAAGAACCATATATTCAATGTGTTCTTGAAATTTCTCTAGTTACTCCGAAGATATTTGCGCAATTATGCTAAAGTGTTAAGCTTTCATCTTTTCACTTTTTGTTTCAATTATAGTCACTCGCTTTATACTGACTGTTTGGTAAACGGGTGCGCGCGCACACACACACACACACACACACACACACACACACACACACACACACACACACACACACACACACACTAACATCACTAACGTGTATAGTATGCAAGGTCACGGAGAAGATCATCAGGAGGAGAGTGGTGGAGCACCTGGAAAGAAACAAGTGTATAATTGACAACCAGCACGGTTTCAGGGAAGGAAAATCCTGTGTCACAAACCTACTAGAGTTTTATGACAAGGTGACAGAAGTAAGACAAGAGAGAGAGGGGTGGATCGACTGCATTTTTGTTGGACTGCAAGAGGGCCTTCGACACAGTCCCTCACAAGAGGTTACTGCAAAAGCTAGAGGATCAGGCACACATAACAGGAAAGGCACTGCAATGGATCAGAGAATACCTGACAGGGAGGCAACAACGAGTCATGGTACGTGACGAGGTGTCAGAGTGGGCGCTTGTGACAAGCGGGGTTCCACAGGGGTCAGTCCTAGGACCTGTGCTGTTCTTGGTATATGTGAACGACATAACGGAAGGGATAGACTCAGAAGTGTCCTTGTTTGTAGATGATGTGAAGTTAATGAGAAGAATCAAATCGGATGAGGATCAGGCAGGACTACAAAGAGACCTGGACAGGCTACAAGCCTGGTCCAGCAACTGGCTCCTTGAGTTTAACCCTGCCAAATGCAAAGTCATGAAGATTGGGGAAGGGCAAAGAAGACCGCAGACACAATATAGTTTAGATGGCCAAAGACTGCAAACCTCACTCAAGGAAAAAGATCTGGGGGTGAGTATAACACCGAGCATATCTCCTGAGGTGCACATCAATCAGATAACTGGTGCAGCATACGGACGCCTGGCAAACCTACGGATAGCGGTCCGATACCTCAGTAAGGATTCGTTCAAGACTCTGTATACCATTTACGTCAGGCCCATACTGGAGTATGCAGCACCAGTTTGGAATCCACACCTAGTCAAGCACGTCAAGAAACTAGAGAAAGTGCAAAGGTTTGCAACAAGGCTAGTCCCAGAGATACGGGGATTGACCTACGAAGAAAGGTTGAGGGAAATCGGCCTGACGACACTGGAGGACAGGAGGGTCAGGGGAGACATGATAACGACATATAAAATACTGCACGGAAAATACTAGTGGGAAAATTTATGGAATCAATAATTGCCGAGGCAGTTCGTAGCCACCTTGAAAAGCATAAATTAATCAACGAATCTCAGCATGGTTTTACAAAGGGGCATTCCTGCCTTACGAATTTATTAACTTTTTTCACTAAGGTATTTGAGGAGGTAGATCATGGTAATGAATATGATATTGTGTATATGGACTTCAGTAAGGCTTTTGACAGGGTCCCACATCAGAGACTTGAGGAAAATTAAGGCACATGGAATAGGAGGAGAAATTTTTTCCTGGATAGAGGCATGGTTGACAAATAGGCAGCAGAGAGTTTGCATAAATAGGGAGAAATCAGAGTGGGGAAGCGTCACGAGCGGTGTTCCACAGGGGTCAGTGTTGGGCCCCCTGCTGTTCACAATCTACATAAACGACATAGATGAGGGCATAAAGAGTGACATCGGCAAGTTTGCCGATGACACCAAAATAGCCCGTCGAATTCATTCTGACGAGGACATTCGAGCACTCCAGGAAGATTTGAATAGACTGATGCAGTGGTCGGAGAAGTGGCAGATGGAGTTTAATATAGACAAATGCAAAGTTCTAAATGTTGGACAGGACAATAACCATGCCACATATAAACTAAATAATGTAGATCTTAATATTACGGATTGCGAAAAAGATTTAGGAGTTCTGGTTAGCAGTAATCTGAAACCAAGACAACAGTGCATAAGTGTTCGCAATAAAGCTAATAGAATCCTTGGCTTCATATCAAGAAGCATAAATAATAGGAGTCCTCAGGTTGTTCTTCAACTCTATACATCCTTGGTTAGGCCTCATTTAGATTATGCTGCACAGTTTTGGTCACCGTATTACAGAATGGATATAAATTCTCTGGAAAATGTACAAAGGAGGATGACAAAGTTGATCCCATGTATCAGAAACCTTCCCTATGAGGATAGACCAAGGGCCCTGAATCTGCACTCTCTAGAAAAACGTAGAATTAGGGGGGATATGATTGAGGTGTATAAATGGAAGGCAGGAATAAATAAAGGGGATGTAAATAGTGTGCTGAAAATATCTAGCATAGACAGGACTCGCAGCATGGTTTTAAGTTGGAAAAATTCAGATTCAGGAAGGATATAGGAAAGTACTGGTTTGGTAATAGAGTTGTGGATGAGTGGAACAAACTCCCGAGTACAGTTATAGAGGCCAGAACGTTGTGTAGCTTTAAAAATAGGTTGGATAAATACATGAGTGGATGTGGGTGGGTGTGAGTTGGACCTGATAGCTTGTGCTACCAGGTCGGTTGCCGTGTTCCTCCCTTAAGTCAATGTGACCTGACCTGACTAGGACCTGCCTCGCATGGGCCAGTAGGCCTGCTGCAGTGTTCCTTCGTTCTTATGTTCTTATGAATAGACAAGGTGGACAAAGACGGGATGTTCCAGAGAGGGGACACAGACACAAGAGGTCACAATTGGAAGTTGAAGACTCGGATGAATCAAAGGGATGTTAGGAAGTATTTCTTCAATCATAGAGTAGTCAGGCCGTGGAATAGCCTAGAAAGTGACGTAGTGGAGGCGGGAACCATACATAGTTTTAAGGCGAGGTATGATAAAGCTCATGGGGCAGGGAGAGAGAGGACCTAGTAGCAATCAGCGAAGAGGCGGAGCCAGGAGCTATGACTCGACCCCTGCAGCCACAAATAGGTGAGTACACACACACACTTATCAAATGTCGTGCCGAATAACCGCAACTTATTATTATTAAAGATTAGCCGGTATATCGTAAAGGGTTCTTCAATGGAGATATCGTAGGATAAGGTAGACACACTTGTAGGATGGTAGGTGTATTGTCAGACTGAGATGAGAGATGGAGCCTTTATCGTAAAGGGTTCTTCAATGGAGATATCGTAGGATAAGGTAGACACACTTGTAGGATGGTAGGTGTATTGTCAGACTGAGATGAGAGATGGAGCCCAGTGCCTAGCCTGTCTACGCCTTGAAGGTCTGCCGCCGAGTGAGGACGGGACAGAGGGATCACTGCCCATGTGTATCCCATGACGTCACACAAAGCCAAAGGCCTACGAGGGATCTCGTGTCTAAAGCACAGGGATGATACTAATATGCTATGCTATATAATACTGGGAATACAGGGA